GCAGCTGTCAGGTCCTCCTCTTCGTTCCTCCTGCTGCTGCTGCTGCTGCTGCTGCTGCTGCTGCTGCTGCTGCTGCTGCTGCTCTCTCCTGGGTCGCTTTCTAGCTCACACACACACACACATACACAGCTGTCACACCTCCAGCATACTCTGCATGACATTTATCCTCCAGACAACAACTCGTACCAGCTTACAGTAGACACACTACAAGACGTAACAGGCTGTGAAAATGTTTAAACATTTCATCACACACTTAATGGGAGGCAGACACTTTCTCTCTAGCAATAATAGAAGCAGCATGTACTCGACAAGTGAAGGCTGCGTCAGTTGCTTTTTCAGCCACATGGGGGCAGAGGAAACCCACAATTTGATGACTATAACTTTGCCATTTTAAAAAGTTGGAGTGATTAGGTTAGCAAACTATTACCACAGACACTGAGCAAACATTTATGTTGTGTTTCTGGCCGTTTGATGAATGAAACTCCAATATTTACTCTCTATCTTTACTCTAACTACTGAGAGAAATATCTCAGTCTCCAGCTGCTGCTCTCTCTGTCTCACTGCAGGCAGGTAGTTTACAGTGGATTTATCAAAACCACCTGCAGAAGACTGGATTATTGAGAGCAGCGAGACCAAGGTCGTAGTGTAAATCTGCTCGCTGTAAACCAAAACAATGAAGCTAAAAACTAAAACTGGGAGGGAGATTATTGTCTCACTGTGCTGCTATAACATGCAAAGTCAGTCAGTTCCAGGTAAACACAAGGAGACATGTTTCTGATTGGCCCCCGGGGAGGATGACGTCATTCATGAGTGACTAATCCATGTTAACTTTTGGACTCGTCTTCGTCCTCCTCTTACTCAACTCACCTGCCGGCAGTAAAAGTTACTCATGCTACAGAATCAGCCACCTCCGTCCTGATCCGACTTGTGTCCGGATTAATCACGTTGATTCTGACTGACTCACCCGCCCAGTGTAGAACCGGCGTGACTCATTTATGAAAGGAAGTCAATCACCTTTGAACGCCACTCGCATCGTCTTCATCGCCTTTTGGCACCTGTTCCTCCCGCTCATCCAGAGCCTCCAGCATGTCTGCATCATCCATCTCCACGATGTCCGGCTGGACGGCCTCGGTCTCACCCTCCCCGATGCTTGGACCAGCTGGTTCTGGATCAGGAGGAGGCTTCTCTTTCGGCTGGAGGAAGGCGTCCAGCTTCTGTGAGCGACAGTCGGTCCTCACCATCTGATGTGCGTAGACTCGCTCACTGGAGTCTGCTGCGGTGCTGGAGGACTTGACCTCAGCTCCGCCTGAGACAGACAGCCCTGGCAGCAGCGTCTGCACAAACACACAGTGTATGCGTCATTGTGCCAGGTTTTTCTTTGTACCTCCAAGGCTGGGAGGAGTGGATGTTAACATGTCACCGTGACAATAAGAAGATCTGATCAATTAGTGCTGTGCCACTTACAGCATATTTACAGATAGCTTCGAGTCTCTTCATACCTGAGTGAAATATGTACGTGACGAGTTGGAGCCCAGAAGTTTGCTCTCGATGTGCTTCTGAATGCTCTCGATGACGCTGTCTTCGTGCAAGAAATGAACCTCGTGTTTCGTGGGATGGACGTTCACGTCTACATTCTGCGGAGCGATCTCTAAGCTGTGGCGATTAGAAAGCAGTTTTAAATGAACTGAACCAGAATAGAATCAGTAGAAGACAGACAAATGCACATTAAGGTACCTGAGGTAAAGAAAAGGGTGTGTGTTCTTGGGGAGGTATGCAGCGTAAACCGTCTCGATTGCTTTCTTCAAAGCACTTGACTCCACCAGACGATCTGAGAGATCACACATCACAACCTCCGTTTAGCGAAGCGCTAATAAGATTAAACCATCTTGCAACCTGCACTTCCAGTCCCTTTTTCCCGCCATACGTACGGTTGATGAAGAGGATCAAGATGCATTTCTTGACGGAGTAGTTTGCGTTCGAGATGTAGCCTTTCATCTTGTACGCGAGCTTCTGATCCTCACAGCCAACTTCGATCAGCTCCCTGGGAACATGCCACAGAGGCAGTCACGCAGTCAGTCGGCGTTAAGGTGATAAGAGGTCACATAACTGCAGAGAACATCAAAACACTTCACTTTCTTTCTTGTCTAATACCTGCTGACTGCATTGCCAAAAACTCCTCGGATATTATCCACTACAGATGCGTTGGGTAGAGTCCTCACATCTGCCACAGTCTCCCCTTGCTGGAAAAACAGACCATAAATATTATCGACCTTTAAGAAAACTTCGTAGCCTTATGTGAACTTCAGTGCAAACACATCCTGAGAAGGTGGTATGGTGGAGTTTCTTATGGTCGACTTTCTTCCTCAATAAACGTTCCATAAATATCCCACAATAACTCTTTTTTTTTAGCCGATAATTACCTGCTTCTCATGGCTGATACTAATTAGATAACTGATAATTTCACATCTTCGTATTTGAAAAACAGTTCATGACCTGTAGTTTTTACAGACCTGAGGGTAAGAAAGGCGTAAATGTGATCAAAGATAGATAATTGAATATTGTATAGTTCTGTTCTAACCAAATCTAACCATCAGACACCACTGTTGTTAACACAACAAACTGTGCTTCAAATGTTCATTTATTTTTTCTAGTAAAGTTCATTTAAAAACTAGAACATAAAATGTATCAATAATTTTGCATAGAAATTCAAAATAAAATTATTAATTTGATGATCAGTAAAATGTATAAATTATAAATTGTCCCAATCATCCCCTATTTTCCTCTTGAGTCAGGTACTTAAAAAAACAAGTCTCACCTTTTTGACAGAAAAACTTTTTCCTGAATTGTGTATGGCGTACCTTCAAAACAACATGTTAACAGGTGAGTATATGTAAGATGTTTATCTAAACACAACAGTCACACAGCAGGAATCACGCGACACAAGAAGTAAAGCCCCGATTACAGACCTGCTGACCACCTCCACGATCCTGGAGTACTCGTCACTGGGGCTCTTTAAAGCCTTCCTCCTGGTGGACACATTATAGAAGAGGTCCTCCACCTGCACACAGGGATTGTACACTGTTGTAGGTTCACGAGCATCCGTAAACTTCCATTCTGTAAAAGTTGATGTGCTCCACAAACTCACAAGAATCTGCGTTCCCTGGTTGCCAGCACATGGTTTGGGAGGGCCTTTCAGCTTCCCGTCGCTGTAGCTGGCTCTGAATTACAGAATAAGATGATCATCCTGGGTGCTTTCTTTTCTAACAGTTTGTCTAGTTTACAACCTTTTTCCTTAAGGGGACCCATTTTCTATCAGTGGGTCAACTGACGACCCCTGGGTAACATATTTTAGATAACAATAACAGTACAGAACAACTGTGAACACAATAACTGCAGGACATGTGTGTACAAAAACACATTTTTGGGAACGTTTTATACAATTCTCAGTCTGTTTTTTTTATTTTTAACAATCATTTATACTTTATATGCTTCTTTTTTTTGACAAAATCAGTGTTTTCTTCTCCCCGACACTTAGCCATTGTTCTATTAGCCCTTTGGTTGTTTTAACTGCGTACTTTTCTAATGCAGGACCAGGCTGTTTCACAGAGAGTGAAGGCTCTGTAAATACAGTTTGTGTGCTCTGTGCTCTTATCCTGTGAGATTTTATATCTTAAATAATAATCTAAACTTAAAAATGATCATTTTAATTTAGTTTCAATCACAGAAATGAATGAAATGCTAAAATATAAGCCAACTGCATATATTTTTTTTGAAGTTTTAACAAGAGAACAGATGAGTGAACCATGGTTTTAAATGTTTCCATACCTGTAGGCGCACTTGGCATCAGCGGTCTTAGTCGTTATGGTCACATGGGCAACATGGCTTATACTGGCAAGGGCCTGCAAACAGGAGCACAGACAACAAACGGGAAGTACAACAACATGTATGTCAACATTTAATAACTTAAAGTAAAGTTAGTAGTGCTGCTCACCTCTCCTCTGAATCCATAGGTTGCAATAGCTGAGAGGTCCTCAAAAGTCTGGAGTTTGCTGGTGGTAAACCTCTCGCAAACGATTTCCATATCTTCTTTCTGCCTCCGAAATAGAAAATACAGCTTGGTCAGAGGAAACTAGTGAATTTAAAGACAGCAGCGGAGACACAGTTCTTGAGAGAGTCCCCCCCGGGCAGAGAGAAAACAACACAAAACCCTAAATCTAACCCTAATGGGGGCAGACTGGACCAATTAAACTGGATACTAGGGAGGACACAAACCACCAGGGGCGGATCTAGAGGGATGGTGTGACTAAAAAGTCCTGACCACAGCAGTTTGGAGTCAAATGCTGTCAAATTTAACACATTAATTTAGATTAATTTCAAAAACAATGTGGTAAAAACACATTAAATGATTTAATGATCTGTTATGGTCACATTTTAGAGTAAGTTGCTTAAGATCAATAAAAAAAAGACTATTCAATTCTTTACTAATGTGCCACAATAATTCAGTGAGTTAAATAGATTTTCATTCGGGGGCTTTTTCAAGCAAATACTGATATAGTTTATGTGATTGTCTGCAATTAAATCAGCATATATTTCCTCTAGACCCGACCCTGCAAACCACATCTTTCCCAAGGGTTCTTTGTGTTATATCTTATCTTTCTGGTTGATATTTATTGTTAGCACAATAAAGGGAAATCATGGCATCAGACACTTAACAGGGGCGGTTCTTCACCCCCCCCGTCACCCACCCTGATGCCGGTGCCGTTGTCCTGAATCTGAAGGAGCTTCAGTCCGCCGTCTTTCACCGTCACCTGAATGTTGGTGGACTTGGCATCCAAACTGTAACATTTAAGAATATTATTATTATTATAGTCATATTATACAGCCATATTACATTTTAGGTGGAGTCAGTTTGCAGTACCACATTACTGTTACTATGTTACAGGCCGTGTTGGGCTAGCTACTCATAAAATGTAATTTATTACACGTTACTCTTTGCAAAAGTAATATTACTCCCCACACATATTTGTAATTTTGTCCCTTTTTCCACAAAATTTAGACTTACGAAGATCAAAAACTAGATTTGTTTGTTAAAATCTAAATAATGGGAATATTTCCAGCAATGTTTCTAATTCACAAAGACAGTTTGCTCCATTATTAAAAAATAATCCATGGATGTGATTGAATTGTTGGATTTCAAAATAAAAGTCATTTTGTAACTAATTATTTTATTTTATTTTATTTTTTTTGAGGGGGGACTGTAACTGTAATAATTACTAAAATGATTCAGTAATTAGTTACTGGTGAAAGTAATGTGATTACTAGTAATGAGTTGCTGTTACAGGTGTTGATAAGCTGCTTTGCCTCAAACGTGATGTAAACAATGTTGCCTCCTGCCTCTTATATTGTCACTTTTACTTTTATTATTGATTATTATTTTAGCCACTAGTCAAACACCTAACATGAGCTCACATTATCACCATGAACTGTTTAATTGAACCTGTCAGTTACCAGTTTTCTATCAGCTCTTTGACGCCGTTGGCAGGACGCTGGATAACTTCTCCTGCTGCTATTCGGTTGACAACCGTCTCGTCGAGCCTCCGGATGACTCCCGCCATGTTTACAGCGCTGCTCGCTTACTTTCGCTTAGTTAAACAGCTGATTATGTCCGTGAATACTCATATATGTGGATGAAATGTGTTTATTTTCAAGCTAAAAATGTAGCATCACAAGTTGTACACGAAACGGAGCACGCATGGGAGCAGAGATGGGGAGAAAAATGAGGAGGTCTCACTCCGCTTTGAAATGTCGGAGCACAGCGAAAGTCATCATGTTGTTTAACTTTCCCAATAAACGCTGTTAGTTAACTTTAGAGTTACCAAATACTTAATTTATAAACACATACAACCACATAAACGATCAGATCACAAGAGCTTTATCGTTTTATTCAACGCCTGGCTGCTGATAAAACAATATTTCAGCGACGCTTTTCTCCTACAGACGTGATTCATCTTCTCAACAATACACGATCTTTGCGAGCACTGCGCGGGCAGAGGACGTAAGGGGCGTGGTCAGCGTCATACGTAAGGAGGACGTCAAATATGCACAGCGCCTCAAAACGAGTTAATAAAGCTTTTTATTTAAGACACATTCACAGTATTTTTACACATTATACCAAACATAATAATTAAATACATAATACAGTTAATTATAATCATAAACGTGGGATTTCTGTTGTAGAATAATAAGCTAATTAATTGTATATTTAATATGTTTCTTCACTTATAACACACACTCTTTTACCAATACAGTTTATTTTCTTTTTGATCTCTTAGTAATAGTAGATAAAACTCTCAGGTGTGTCTCAGCTTTTCAGTCATTCCCAGTTTATGCAATTCTAATATTCCTAAAGGAGCCCAGTGTGCAGAAATATTCAAATACACTATGTTAAAATAACACATTTATACTACATGCAAAAAATGCATGTGATTAGCTCAAAGTGGGCATGTGTGCAAAGGGGAGACTTTTAGGTATCTATAGAACCAGATAAGATAAGATAAGATAAGATAAGATATTCCTTTGTCCCACAATGGGGAAATTCCAAATACATTTACAGCAGCAAAGTGGAAGTAGAGAAAAAAACAGTATAATAAGGACAGTAATATAAAAACAGTAAGAGTATGAAAAATATTAACACTGAACAAGAGAAAAAACAGTAAAAAACCACAACAACAGATAACACAATAACACAATAACACAACAACACAACACAAAAACACAGTGCCTTCTTATTGAGTACTGCCACAGCTGGTATCACTGGTATTTCTTCTAAGGGGTAGACAATAAAAGTAAATAATTGTCAAAAAATAACTACTTTTATTCTTTGATGCGTGCCCCTAAAGTTCAGTTTTCAGACATTGGTATTTTTAAAACCCTTCTGGACAAGTGTGGCTCTGTGGAAACGACGTAGCTAACATAACGCGAAGAAAACAGCACTGAAATATATATTTGTTAAAATGGATATATATAAACGCCAAAATAATTAAGGTTGTGGTTGTGCTGAATTAAGGTACTGGCAAATTCAGGCACTGCATAGAACCCATTTTCATTCAGAGATCTTGAGGTCAGAGGTCAAAAGATCCATCTGCCAGTTTTTTAATTGCCAAAATTTTGCCTAACTGTGCAAAACATGCTTTATAGCAATGGATGCGTTAAGTTATTTAGTTTCATATCTTCACTTTAGCTTTAACACAGAGCCCACTACAGCCTCTGAATACACTGATATACCGATAAGTGTGTGTCTCCAGCTCTGGAATGTGCCATTGTAAAGAGGCTTCTTGGACCATAATTCAGAAGAAAAAGTCAATTGTCCCCCCCGGGAAGGGATTGGTTGCGTTTGTAAAAAGGTCAGAGGTCAGAATCAATTACAGATCAATACCCATCCAAACAGTAAAACATACTTAATCTTTTACTGTCTCTTTCAATCATGAGCTATTGGAGAATTTAGTGTTTAACATTAACACAATAAAAAGTCCAAAGTCCATTAATCTTTAAGGATAAAATTCCAACCAAATGCTTTGTATGTAAAGTGGATTCACTCCTACCAGAACATTTAACTCATTACAGTAAATCTGCATCGTTTACTACAAAATCTGATATTTTAACAGTTGTGCCTCTGCATTGCCTTCCTCAGCACATTCACTGTAATCTTCAGTGTGCTCATAGTAGGCCAGATCACTTATGTGTCTGCATTCCTCACAGAGCCACATGTGTGTTTTTTGAGGGGGAAGAACTGAGGTGGTCCAAAATCTGCAAAAATACAAATGTTCTCAGAGATATTTCATGGTTGCTTTTTTTTTTAAATGAAAACTACGCTACACTTATTCTCTGTGATTGTTACAGTAGGAGCCAAAATTTATATCGCAAGACTGCTAAACTTTGGCCTCAGGCAGGATGACCTCAATAGAATAAAATGCTGTGAGTAGGCTGTTCGGGGTGTGGCGCTGGTTGAATGTCATGACCAGACTTCTCAATGCGGTCCAACCTGAACTCAGTTCTGGCTTAATAAGAATCATTAGGGGAGCACGGCATCTTCAAATACCTCAATGAATAAAACAAATAAACTAATGACAGGACGTAAAAACTCAACCTGGGTTCGGTACCAGGATATATTCAAAACTCTACCTTACACTTTCTGTTTGATAACAGATACTCAGATTTGTAGAAGTAGGGATTGTCAGGGTAAAAAGAAAAGGTGCTGTTATAATACTCTCTAATCTGATTGCCCTTAAGAAACCTACTGTCAGTTCTTCAGGTTCCACATTTGTAGTTCTCTGTAGCAGAGAGCCTGGTTAGGAGCAGTCAAACAGAAATGTCATTTTATTTCAACTTTAAAAAGCTTGTTTTGATGTTTGTGCTGTAACATCACACCTCTGATTATCCTATTGAATCTTGCAAATCACACCACATTCCAGGAAAGCAGAACAAGGGGAAGTATAAAACTGGGTGTTTTCTGTGTAACCTATACCAAATTTTACACAAAAGTATAAGCCTGTGTGAAGCAGCACTTAGAGCTTACTTGGCACAGTTTAGGAGTTCTGCAGCTTGTTGTGCTGCTCTTTGAACCTTTGCCAACATGTCTTCAGAGCCTAACTACAACAACTAACCACAAGCAAACAAAACAACCTGAAAGGTCACTGGAAGTATGAAAGGACGCCACCCTGGAACTGACAAATGGCAGAAATGTGATAAATCCACGTCCTACTTTGTACAGTTGTTTGCATTCAGTGATTCAGCTGTGTGTCGCCTCTTTCTGCGGCTGAGGCTTCACCCACAAACTCAGCAGTGACATCACTACGATGTCAAGCACATTTTCCCATATTAACGATGCTAATTAAATCCAGATGTGCGCTATATCGCTCTGGCATCCATCGCGTTCTCGTTTAAGTCGCTCCACCTCTCCCTTTAGGCCGAGGTAAGACACCGGCCATTGTATTGTCTTTGCATCTGAGATGTATTGGGGGGATATGATGTCTGTCCTGAGACACGTTTCCCTGACTCAACGCAGGATATTCCAGTATGTGCTGTAGCTGCAGGATGTGCCACAGGATGCAGTACAATAGACCTGGAAAGAAAAGGGGAATAAACTGTTGGATGGAAGACAACACTGTTAAATGTAAAGCGCAGTACTTGCTCCCTGTTCTGTACCTATTTTATTGTCATTACGTCATGTTGTCCCTGGAGGCCTATGTAAATTTACTTTTTGAATGGATGAAACTGTAAACAATGTCTTATGGAACGCTTCAGCAAACAAGAGTCTGGGTGGGGTCAGAACTGGTTGTGTATCTCACAGGCTTCATTTTTCATTGCACTTTTCTGTCCCCCTTTTTTTTTTATACTACCACTCAGATTACAGCTGCTCTCAAACAGCAACTCCTGTAGCGACCTGCCACGCGTGCCAGCCACACACAAGCATGCATGCCACTGTAATTGCGCCCATGCATGCATACAATACACACACACACACACTGAACTGAAATATGGTTGAAGAGGATTCTTTAAAAAGAGATTATAAAAATGTCTTGCAATAACCCAGAGACACACAGAGCAGAATGCCTTCCTAAATATACAAACACTGTCAACAAGCATAATGACAGTCAAATCAGATACAAATGCACACCTGCTGCTCAGTAATACACCCATTGTGTTCAACAAGGTCAGCCCCCAGTTGCTATCGCCCCCAACATGGCCTGCAAATACATCTTAAAACAGATGTGCTCTGCCTTAAACCCAACATTGATCTATTTTCCACACCTCCATGCTGCTGTGTGTCGATACATTCCACACTGTCAGGAGCCTGTTGTTTCTACTGCGGTGGTTTTGTCTCACCTTTGTGTTTATGTCGGCTCCTTTCTCCACCAGCGAGGTGGTAATCTTTGGCTGGACAGGCACCCAGCCTCCTCTGACACAGCTGCAGAGTGATCACTGCCACCAAAGGTTGCATAGTATCTCTTAGAGACACAAGATGTTGTGGGGATACAGTCATCTGTGGAATTTGTCACGGCCTCGCAGAGTGACAAATATAGAGGAGCCTGTCTTTCCTCTAATGATAAGGGTGGTCTCTCACATACTCGCCACTAATCTAAAATCAAGTTTGATTGCTGCTTTTTAAATAAAAAATATGTTATCATCTCAACTGCATTACTGATTATTTACTTAACATTACAAGTATTACTCCAGTCCAAGTGCAGTGACTTTGAATTCATCATCCTCTTTATTCCACCTTCATCACCTCTGTAGGCAACTGTGATCTCACCTCCTTGAGAACTGCTAAGACTTCCTGTTCGAATGATGCATCTAGAAATGGATTCTGCAGCTGCTTGCTCTTCCCTTTTTTCCTTTGTTTTCCCATCCTCTTCCTCCTCCTGTGGTAATCTTCCTCCCCCATGCTCTCTCCTCCTTATCAGCACGCCAAAAGCCTTGAGACGTGCTATAAACAAGGGGTGAACACACACTTTCCTGGTGGTGCTGCAGAATAAAAGCACTTCAACAGGCTATAAATGCTAAACGCTAACATCAGGATGCTAATATGCTCTCAAAGACAATGCTAACGTTTAGCATGCAACTATTTGAACAGTACAGCAAAAGGATGACGGTAATGTCATTTGTTTTGCAGGTATTTATTCATAAATGAAGTACTGGTACAATGAAAATGTAAAGTCAGGAGATCAACAAAGTTATTACAGTTCATCCTGAGGAGGGACGTCCATGTGTAGGTCCCAAATGTTGTGGCAATCCATCCTATTGTTGTTGAGACATTTCAGTTAAAGCCACAAATGTGAATCTCATGGTTGCGCCAGAGGAAATGTCAATGAATCATCACATTCGGAAATAACCATCCCTAAAGACATACTGTTATCATGGCTTAAAACCATCTTTTTCTGTTACCTGTGTAGGCATGTGATGGCCCACTTTAAAAATACCTGCCGACACCTGTCCAACCGCACCTTCCAATTGACGCTGTGCTTTCAGATTCATCATTAAAGTATTTATAATTCAACTGCTGCTCTGAAGTCGTCCAGTAATCTTTGCGTTTCCTCTCCTGCTTTGAAAATGTGAATGTGAACATTCAATTCCACAGTGAAACGATTAAATATTATCATTCACACCAGCTGCAAATCGTTTTATTAACACATCGGATTGTTGTTGAAGCCTCTCAGGTTGGCAGATATCAACATCAGGATTATAGTCTTTATTACAGTATGTGTGGCACAATGGAAGCATAGCCATCAGACATCATAAATCTGACCCTGCATGAATAAGACTATGCCCAACAGGCACACATATAGGTGAATGCACCCAAGATGCACTGAGATCCGAGCACTCACATGACTACATTCTTCTATCAGTGTGTACGCAATGTGTCCTGGACCACAATGAAGGACTGCCAACCCAACTGACGCCTTGCACGCGAAAAACACGCCTTCTGACTCCGATTTGTTCTCTGTAAAGCAACTTGCGTGTGTTGGCTCTCTTACCTGCCAAGATAAGCAGCAGCTGATGTTTGTGGACACTTATGAACTGTATCTTTTTATACTTTAAGTAAACCAGATTTATTCTTCAAGGCCTCCATGTGGACACACGGTTATCAGCATAATCTAATCTACTCGGTTGTTTATTGTTTACCACAAGGGACGTTGAACAATAACAGTTCATTCTGAAGGACGCTGTGTTATCACATAAATCATATCAATTACACTTTGATTCATACATTCCTGGGAATGTTTCATGGAAGAGGGGAGGGTTCCAGCTCTGATTCAGCGTTTTCGTAATCAGAGCCGTCAGTCACAAAACCAAAAGGCAGGACACCAAATGTGTTTATCTGAGAGCTACACGGGTTAAAAGAAGGCAGCGGTGAATGCTACCCTGTGGTATGTAGTGCAGCAACTATATCTATGAACTCAGTCCATGATCATTTTCATGTTTCTATTCCAACTGCTCCTCTGTGTGCCTTGGGTGGTGCCTGAAGGGGACAATGAGAAATTGTCTTCAAGTCTTCACTTGAGCAGCTACGTTGCATCACTTCCTCTACTTTAGTTACAACAGATTTGATCCTGATATGGCTATTTTAGGTCTTAGTAAAGTGAAATCACTGCATCCAGTCTCTCTCTCTCTCTCTCTCCTTTCAGGGTTTAACAAAACATGTACTCCAAGCGCCTCTCTTGGAAATACAGGATGACCTTCCTCCAGATTCAAAGCTAGGTTTCCACATGAGCACTCTCACTGAACCGCAGAATAAAGATACATCACAGCCTGTCTGGCGAGGTAATATCATTTCAGTGTATGACCATAATTGTAAATGGTGCAAGAGAGATTGTTGATGCACCATGAAAAGGAATAAAAGAATTCATATTGGTATTGTGTTGGCAGAAGAAGCCTTTCCCGCAGGCTCTGAGGCTTTGTCCTGGCTCCCCGCTGCTGCTCTGCTGTTTGTGTAGACTGCACCCTCATCAAAGGTTGGCAGGGTAGTCTTCATAATAATCGTCCTCACCCAGTACCTCCATTGTTTGTTGATATCCTCGCCACATAATGAGGTTTGAGGTTAATACATTAAGAGGTTTTCTTTGTTACCTTCTAGGTATTTACTGCGCTCTTTATAAGAGTTTTGGTTGTCTGATGAAATTCCTATTTTAAGTGTTGTTCTGTTACCGGGGCACTTCTAAACATCTTATTAGTCTTTTCATTACAAATATTTTGAAGGTTTGATCATTTTTGGACCCCAGTTCTTTCCAAAGTAACTCCTTTCCTCAACGGTGCTACAATTACTAAGGAAACTCCAATATTAACGTATAAGACGTAAAGGTAATTTTCTATTTCCTTTGCCAAATTAGGCGCCACCCTTTTTTAATCCATCAATTAAAGGTCCAGTGTAACATTTAGGAGGATCTATTGGCAGAAATGTAATATAATATTAATAGGTATGTTTTCATTTGTGTATATTCACCTGAAAATAAGAATTGTTACCTTAGAATGAGACGTTTTTATCTACAGACCAGGGCCCGGGGAATACCCAGGTATAACCGGTTGGTAATCCAGTAGTGGCTCTATTAATAGTCTCAACCTAAGTTTTTCTTATTAAAAGCTAATAACTGATCTAAAAAGCATAATATTTATTAAGCATTAATAAAGGCGTTAGTTACAGCTTATAAATCCTTTACAGGATGCCCCATTAGAAAGTGGTACACTTTTAGTGACATGGGTTGATAATGATAATAATAATAATAACTTTATTAATTTATATAGCACATTTTAAAAACAAAATGCTTTGACAGACAGCAAAATGACACCTGTGACACACAAAATATAATTAAAGATAAAAATAATTAATACCAAAATTCAATAATAATAGCAGAATAAAAGCCATACAATAAAAAAATAGATAGAATAAAGTAAAAAGACCAGCAGGTACAAGAAGTTGCTATATTTATTAGAAAACTATTCACACAATTGAGCTTCAGAGCAATGTTTTTAAACTATTTAATACCAATACTATTATTTCTTTCAGATATTAGACGTGCACAATAAAGAAGAAGAATAAAGCAATGAATGAATATGAGCACTGCCTGTTATGCATCATATGAATTAACCCCCCCAGCAGCAGCAGCTCTGGCCCCAGCTGATAGCAGCAGACAGATAACAGATGTGCAGAGTTCAGCAGGACAAGAAGGGACACAGACTGAGCTGTCAGGAGCAGAAGTGAACCAACAGAGGAGCTGACTGGGTCGAGGCGGGGCGAGAGGAGTCGACAGACTGTTTCTCTCTCGTGTGTCTCTCTCAAAGCACTTCTCGCCAACATGCCTCAAGCGTGACAATAAACTGGTTTATCTAGGTGACGGAGGGGGAGAGGAAAAAAGAAAAGGCAATGTAAGAAGGAAAAAACCTTCGACAAAGTCCCACCTGGACGAGGACCGCGACACCACGGTGGTGGAGGAAAAACATGGTGGAGAAGGCAATATGACTGGCTCAAAGTTTAACCGACGACAAGCTTGAAGAGTGAATATCAGTGGGGTAAGTTCACCAAACCGGGGGCTGTACGGTTGTATGTGGGGTTAAGGACGTGGGGTTTATGATATATCGTCCATATGTATTGACTTCTGCTACAGTGTTAACATGTATGTTACATGTATGTTACATGTAACAAGTTTTCTGACATAGTATCTCATGGTGGGGAAAATGTTTGTAGATAAAGTCTTATACAATTAGCAGTTTAATTGGTAATTTATTCTCTTTCTAAGTTGGTTATTTTGTCTTCTCAGTGGGTTTTTTAGGTGTTTTTTGTTCGGATGTTTTCCCTCGGAACTTCTCATATATGTGGCTTCACATGAACTTGCAAATGGAGACTTGGGTTTCTGGCCAGAGGGAGGAGCCACACCCATAAACCATCTATCCTGTGGTTTTCATCTCCCCCCTTATTCATTGTGCTTTTCCCAGTGTAGTGTTATAGGGAGAGGATCCTTGTGGTCAGAGCTGTATCTGCTCTGGGAGCTGAACCCTCTGGGGTTTTTTAGTGTTAAATGAACTTGGTGACATGTTTGGAAGATATAGTATGACCTTAATAAGGTCATCACAATAGGGCAAATAGATGCAAAATCACACCTGAAATAGTCAAATCCATGCTCAACACTGTAAACAAACTTCTAAAACTGCAGTGACTCAGTGTATCCATTGTAATCATTCAGATATGGTCAACAAAGATATGTAAAATGACAACAGGATGTGATCATGATCATATTCACAGTATAATTATATATATAATTATACCTTGTCTGTTTGCTTTTTTGTTGTTTTAATGCGATTATTTTGTTTATCTTTGTTTATGTTATATTTTTGTTGCTTAATGTAATCTCTGCAGCATTGAAAATGAGGGTTCACCCTTCAATGTATTCCTGAGAAGTATATAGTGGTTGTATAAATTAATAAATGAATGAATGATTAACTTCTCTTAACAACAACAAGCGACATGAATTTATGGGCTGCAATAAATTTCAAAACTTTTTTTACCTGTTGATTAATCGTTTGGTCCATAAAATGTCAGAATATGTTGAAAAGTTCCCAGAGCTCAAGGTGATGTCCTCAGAATGCCTTTTTGTCTGAGAAACTGTCAGAAACTTTGAGAAATTCAATTTACTATGATATAATATTTCAGCAGAAGAATGAAGCATAAATTAGAGCATATTTCTACTTATTCTGTGTATGTACACTGAGAGCAACGTAAAACCGGAGTCAGTGTAAACATACCTGGCCGATACCAGGGATTCTGATATGAGACTTAGATAGAAAACAGCAAACATTTGAGGAGCTTGAGCTTGGCTTGAGTTTGACATTTGTGCTTAACAGTTAGCTGATTATCAGAGTGGTTGCAGAGTAATATTTGACTCTAATTGAATTGTCATTTAGGGCTACCCAGCTGGTGTTCTTGTTGTGTTACCTGGTGACACTGAAACAGAAAATGAATCACACTATGTACAGTAAATTCATCCCACTTCTCCTTTTGCCCTCGCCCTCTCTTTAGACCACAGTATGGCGCGCCGCTCTCAGTGTTCCTCTGCTGGGGATAACCCCCTGGACCCCAACTACCTCCCCCCTCACTATCGGGAAGAGTACCGCTTGGCTATTGACGCACTGGTTGAGGAGGACTTGGAGGGTTACTATCAGTTCCTCCAGAAAGCAGATGTGGTGGACTTTCTGTCCTCTCCTGAGATTCAGTACATTCAGGAGTCTGTGCAGGTCCCTCCGCAGAGCAACCACCCTGACCAACGTTTCCTGGAGGCGGGTGGAGATGGCTCCTCAGACACTTACTGGCCGCTTCACTCCGACCTGGACGCCCCAGGTTTGGACCTTGGCTGGCCCCAGATGCATCACTTCATTGGGCCGACAGAGGTCACCACTCTGGTCAACCCGCCTGAGCCCGACATGCCGAGCATCAAGGAGCAGGCCCGACGACTTATCAAGAATGCTCACCAGGTAGCTCTTTCACTTTCTTTAGGGAGGGAGGCTTCTTTGAAGTGTAATTCCCCCTGGCAGGGTTGGATTGACAGTGGTTGTCTTTTGTCTCCACAGGTGATTGCGATAGTGATGGACATGTTTACAGATGTTGACATTCTTCATGATATTCTCAATGCTGCCACGAGGAATGTCGCTGTGTACATCCTTCTGGACAAGCAGAATGTGCATCACTTTATCAACATGGTGTCCAACTGCAGAGTGGATCTACAGAGCATCCCAGTGAGTACATGTTCCTGGAAACACTGTACAGGCACTGTAATGAAGTGGTATTATAAGATTTGATTTAAACAAATCTGCACATCCCACCCACCATTGCACACGGGTTGCAACCCTTTTTGGAAAGGTTTTAAAAATGTCTGAACTTAAAACTACTTTTAGTAGAACAAGAGGCAGTTTATAAGTTTAAATATTATTAATAATCCTTTTCTTTATGATCTAGTCCCATTGGAAGACTTTAAGACCATGTTTACAACTCTATGTAACTGCTTTACTTGAGCCTGTTTTAGTCCTTTGTCACATTTCTATTTAAATTGGAACTGGTGGGCTGTCCTGTCGACCTGAACAGGAAAAGACATTTCAATCTCAGGGGATTTCCAGGTTAAATACATTTAAAGGACCAGTGTGTTGGATTTAGTGCCGTCTTTAGATAAAAATGTCTCATTCCAAGGTAACGGAAACATAACGACTCCTATTTTCAGGTGATTAGACGCTAAACGAACAAATATTATATTTTATTTCAGCCAGTAGATCCTCCTAAATGTTACACACTGGGCCTTTAAAAAACAAGTCAAGAAAGTTTTGAATGCAAAAACATTTAACTAACTACTTTAATATTCATCTCACTTTGACTACGGTTTGACTACAGAAGCTGCAAAAACATGAGAGCTCAAAAAACTATTTAAAGCATATTTTGGGCCACAATCTTGAGCACTGTAGTTTATTTTGAGTCCTGCTGCTACAGTGCTCAGATATTTATATGATGTCATTATTTTACATCTTTAAAAGCCGAGGAGCCACAGACAGAGTAGGGAAGACACAAAGTATTAAAAGACTAATACGTGGTTGGTTTCATGGGGTTGATAGCAGAAATATAGAATAGCACCTAAACAGTCTGGTTCCAACCATACTAACAGAACAGAAAGCAGAAGTGCAGTAGGCACACAACTGTTGCCAGAGGTGACCCCATCAAACAAATAAAGAAAACGTATGAGCCTTTTTTTCCGCACATCACGTGGCTGGCATAAACTTCCAACTGACTTAAAAGAACTATTATTAGGGATGTTGAGCAAAGTTATTGAGCAAACAACCTGGAACCAGATTCATCATAAAACCTTCGTCTTGCTTCGTTCAGCAATGTGAATCTTACACATCATGAGTAATACTGTCTTCCAGGCCGCCTGTGTTGTTTCCTCTTCTCTTGTTTGTCGTTTGCTTTATATGCTGTATGTTAGTTTGCTGTTACTTTATGTGTGCTGTATGTTTTTTCTGTCCTGTTTGTTTTTATTTGCACTTTCAGATAACATGTAGCTACATGAACAAAACTGGCACATTTACTTAATTAATATGCATTGTCCCTTATATATCCAGTATAGTGTTTTTCCACTGATAGAAGTCACAGTAACTGTAAAAAAGAAACTTGAAATGCAGGCATTTTTCCACCTCTTTATTTTGTAAGTGGTTGTGCTAATGCAATGCTGCCACCTAGCTTGGATTGAATACATTACCACCACTATATGTACTCGTTGAACTTAATATTAATTTTCGGGTGATTTTATGTGTGTATGTTTTATGTTGCAGTTCTTACGTGTGAGACTGGTGTCTGGCATCACGTATCAGTGCCGCTCAGGCAAATCCTTCAAAGGTCAGATGATGGATCGCTTCCTGTTGACAGACTGCAGGGCTGTGCTGAGTGGAAACTACAGGTGAGCTAACAGAAAGCCGTATCTCATAGCACACAAGGATTTGAGTGATCAATGAATGTGAGTGTATTCAGTTTGTATATGTTGAATGAAGGGCTTCAATTAATTCTACTTATTGTCATTTCTTTGTCCAGCTTCATGTGGTCTTTTGAGAAGCTCCACCGCTGTATGGCACACCTTTTCCTCGGACAACTTGTATCGACCTTCGATGAAGAGTTTCGTATTCTGTTTGCTCAGTCCGAGCCCCTGATTATTGAAAACATGCTCCCTCCAGTGGACGATTTTGGCATTTTACAAAAGAGGCCATACCTAAGTGAAAGAACTTCACTGTACAGAGAGCCAAAGAAATTTATAGACACCGCTCGTCCAGAGGAATGGGCAAGACATCCCTATGATGAACGTGTGGATGTGGATTGGAGAATGAAAAGGCAGGGATCTTTGCACGGCCCTGCAGATATGTACAGCAGGTTTCCATCCCAGCAGTCACGAATGGATCCATCTTTTGATCAGGGCCCCTCCAGGATACCCCTGATGGAAAATCCAGCCCTCAAACGTCACAGTTTTGCTGAAGGCGTTCATGGTAGATACTCCTTCCCATTCCTGCAGCAGCAGGGAATACCAGAGCCTGAGAACCAGGGAAGGCAGTTTCACAGGGGGCAGCAGCCTTATCCAGGACCAGGACCAGGACCAGGAAAAGAAGCAGATTATAGTGGCTATGACAAGTTCTGGAACCAAGACTTTAATTTAGCAGGTCAGTATTCGGAACCTGGATTACCACCAGAGATGGACCCATCTGATAACTTTGACCCTGTGCTTAACTATTTATCATCAACCAGAAATGTGGACTTTGACCAGGGCTCAGAAAAATTACCACCTGCAGCAGATTTACCGTTTAGTTCATCTCACCCTCAAAGACTGAGTTTAGGACAGCCATATGCCTGCCTAACGTCTCCCACCCCCTCGAATCCAACTGAGCAGAAGCAGTTTTTCCTGGAGCCTAACACTGACCGCAAGGATCCTATGGTGAAACGGGGCCTAAGAGACTGGAGGATTAGCTCATACCTCAGTGCATATGATGATCCGGATGATGAAGGCCTGCCGTTGGCACCACCTAATGTACCAGATCCTTTTGAGGAGCATTCTAACCCTGTACAGCAAACGGCACCAGGCATAGATGTAATAGTCTCTAAAATCCCTAATGTCAGAGAGTTTAAGGTTCCTGCATTTCCCAGGGCAAGTCAAATGCCAGGATATGCCAAAACCGCTGCACGAGAGCAGACAAAGAAATTGACTGAAGAACCTACGGCAGTGGTTGCAGAAACAAAAACAACACCGACGCCTTCAGAGTCATCATCCACGGCTGAAGGGGAAAAGACAGAGGAGCCGGAGCAAAAGGAACCGAAAACTATTGGTCTTCATAGGGAGGAGTCATTCCGTAGGAAATACAATGCAGCAGTACCAAGGAGCTCTAGATTAAGATCCTCTCTGATATTCAGCTCTCTGGAGCAGCAAACTGCTCCAGGCCAACAGGATGAGGAAAGTGACAAAAATGAGCCTGATCAGATGAAACTCTCTTTTGTTCCTCAAGTTTTGGGACAAAGGAGGTCTACAGCAAGAGAACCTATTGAGTGGAGCCGTTTCATAAAGTCAGCCACTATCGATAACTCTGCCACAGACTCATCCAAACCAGACAATGGAGACAGTAAAGCAGGTGATAAAGATTCATCAAAGGACAAAAATTCAAAGGATTGTCCAGAAAACCGCGAGTCGTTAAAACAGCCGGGTGTAGAGGAAGCAAATTCATCACCATCAATGCCCAGATCCAAGCCTTCTGACTGTGAGACTACCAAAACTGATCAACCAATACAACCACCCAAATCTTTGCTCACCAGTCCGTTGTATGTGGATATGAATGATCCTGACTCAAGGCTGATGTTTTTCAAAGAGTTGGCAGCGAAACGCAAAGCTGCTAAGGCTGCAGAAGCTGAAAAGAGCAAAGAGAGGGTCCCAGTGAAACCTGAACTGAAAAACAACACTACTGATAAAAAGGAGGAGCCTGTACCACAACAAACCTCAGAAAAAATGGCTGATACTACAACATCTGAGGGTGTGTCAGAGAAAATTGTGCCTGCAGAAGATGCAGGGAAAACGGTATCCACAGAAGCATGCAAGTCAGTCAGTCTATCCTTACATGTCAGTGATGAGACTGACAAGGAGAAAAGTCAGGATAACAGCCAAAGCTGTGAAGAACAAACCACAGTTTCAACTGATTCAGTGAAGATTGAGCTGAAGAACAGCCCGTCAGCAGAACCTCAGAGTGAACCACCACAAACACCAGATCCTGCTGTAAAACAGGGTAGCTCCAGTCATCCACCTACACCAACGAGTACTACTCCTGTTAATCTTCCTTCTCTTGCACAAGGTACTGATGAAAGTGGTTCTACCTCAAAGGAGTCTGGTCCACTCATTCCCAGCTCAGTGGAGGTACCACCCTCTTCTGCATTGGATTCTAACACCCAAAGTCCAGAATCAGTTCAGTTAGAAACAAACACCCCCTCCCCTCCGCTGCTATCTGAACAACACACTGGATCAGAATTCAGCTCTGCTAAGCCATCAGTACAAAGCTCTTCCACTCATCACATTCAGCCAGATTCTGGTTCACAGATCAGTCCATGTCCTTCACCCTCTAGTTCCACTCCTGTTTCCGCCCCAGCAGAGACCATATCCTGTGATGTTACCCGAGAGGACTCGAGCTCAACCCCAACTTCCAGCATATTGTCCTCAAATGCACAGGAAATGGTCGGCCCCTTAGTGCCAGAGCCCTCCCGATCGGTTGAGGAAATTTCTGAGTCTGCACAAGCTGATCCAGATTCTGTTTCTCAATTGACGTCATCTGAGACGCCTTCAGCAGTTGACTCTGCACATGTGGAATCTGAATTTTGTCAGGACTCATGTGCTGCTGGTTCAGAGCCAAACACATCCTCATTACATTCAGAGACAAACACTGGAGAACTTTGTGCTCCTGTGCTTTTAGAAAAAGACGTTTCTGAATCAGAAAACAACTCTTTTCAAAAGGATGTTGTCAAAGCTGATAGCACACCTTCCAGCCCTTCATCGCCTGGATCATGTTTACCTAATGTATCTGATCTGGAAAGTAAATCCAGATCTGATCAAAATGAGACTGTTATTCCTGCTCCCTCCCTAGAGGACCCTCTGCCTGAGCATTCTCCAGCAGAAACAAGCTCTCCTGTCCATCCAGATTTAACTGATAATGTTTCACAGTCAAAAACAGCTGCATCTCTTCCAGAAGCACCAATACAAGTGACCCCTCCCTCCGAACTTAACCTGACAAGACCTGTTGCCCCCCCTCCTGTTGAAACAATATCATGTTCTTCTCCTCTAACTGAGTCAGTTGATTCAGCTGTGTCCCCTGAGGCTGAACAAACACTTTCTGCATTGCACAGCCCCTCAGATACTAGCTCTCTTCCCGAGCAGGTTACAACGGACTCAAACGAAACTGTAATGCTCCCATCAACAGAAACTTGTAGCCCAACTGAACCTACCTCAGAAGTCCCAACAGAACCTGATCTGCCATGCAAAACACCTGAATCTGTGACATCTGAAACCCTTCCCTCAGAGCCACCCGTGCCTGCTGAAAACAGTACTACGCACATTCAGAATGATGTAAGCCAAGTGCCTGAAATGCCTGACCATGGTGAGAAAAAAACGGATGATACTGAGGTCACAGACGAGGTTAATAAAGCTACTACACAGGAATCGGTCTGCGGAGAGAAAAAAGACCAAGTAAGGCAAAACAACTGCTCCGAACAGCCAGAGGTCACATCAGAAGAAGCTGTGCCTCCATCACCGCAGTCCAAGCAGCCAAAATCAACCCAGTCTCGCTATCACTCATCAACAGCCAACGTGCTCTCTAGCAGCAACCTCAGAGACGATACGAAGCTGCTTCTGGAGCAGATTTCTGCAAACAGCCAAAGCAGGAACGAAGCTACCAAAGAGTCTCCTGTCACTGATGACGAGAAGGAAGACGAAGCTGACAAACACGCCAAAAGGGAGAAAGACAGAGGGTTCAGATCACTCAGCAGGGGCCAGCCTAAGTCAAATCAAGATCGCGATAAGCTGCTGGAGAGAATTCAAAGCATGAGGAAGGAGAGGAAAGTTTACAGTCGATTTGAGGTATAAATGCATTAACACCACTAAGTATTACGTATTTGAATGTATGTTTTGTTGCGCCCTGTAGTAAATCATCCTGTGTCTCTGTTCCTTCCACAGATGGCACCTTAAAGGGAATCCAAAGAAAGTTGAGAGGATAAACAGTGCATACAGTGGCTGGAAGGGAAATCCCACAAAAAGCTCAAATGATGACCAAGACATTTTCTCACCAAAGACATTTAATAAAAACGGGATTTCACAGTGGTGTTCTCTGCAAACAAGGCATGTTATGCGAAGAAGAGGCAGAGGACCCGTATCAAAGGGTAAAAGTACTCGTAACACAAATGAATACAAACCTGATGTCTGAATTACACATGCTACGACCAAAGGGCTTCTTATTGTAGGTGAATCACCGAGTGTGAACAGTACATGGACTGAGACTATGATGAAATGTGTTTTTACTGACTGCATGGGTAAAGTGCAATGTTTGCAACAGGTTGTTTCTGTGATGAGGTCTGTCCTTTTTTCTTTACAGCTCTGACAGCCATTACATTAATGTTAGCTGGTTTTAAGACATAATGTGATGTGTAAAGTGTATTACATAATCTAAAATAGTCTGAGTTTATAACACTGTGGTTTTTATTGTAGTATTTCATATTCATGTTAAACAAAGATGTTGATAATTAAGCGTGTTTGTGAAACACGTGGATATATAAAGTCGTATTCATGCGGGACTGTTATTGTTCTGGTGTAAATAAATAGTAACTTTAATGCTTTGTAATCTGAATCAAACATGGTGTTGAAATGATGAACAAACCTAAGATTGAAGCAGAATTGCGGCTTAAACATAATATAATGTGTGAATAATTTTACACCATATAGTATGTTTAATTTTTCTGTTGAACATTGTTCAGCAGGAGTCAACGGTCGATTTTCCAAGTCTTAAATGGTCTGTTCACCCAAATTACCCAAATGATTTTTATTTAGATGCTTTTTGAAACAAACATACATAGGGAACGATATGTTGCTTTGTAAGTGTTTGAATGTAAAGCCAAAGCTGCCTACATGGCTAGATTCCACTGTGGATAAGTTATTTTTTGTAATCTGCTGGAACCAACCCGCTTATTGTCTCTGAAAAGGTGCCTTTTAAATCCAAACTAGTCATTCCTGTACAGTGAAACAAAGACATTCTGAAACCGCAAAGAATTTACAGAACAGTATGTAGAATTGTGCTGTGAAAGTTACACTTTTATAATGGACTTATGATACAGCAACACTTGCCATTTGTAAATAAAACTTCTTCAAAATGTGGTGTGTTTTTCTGACTCTTGTGTGCCTGACGTTGCAGAAGGAAGTTACCTACTGGTCCAGTTAATTAAATTGGGCCAAAAATAGCAAGAACAGAACAGGTGTTAACTTTAATTAACATCCAATCTTTTCAACCAGAAAGCCATGACAGTGTAACAGTGAGCCAGCATGCATCATACCCTAAAACTGAAGCAGCTACATGGAATGCAGCCATGATTCAATTTATTACTTACACTTGTCCTTTCCTACTGTGACATGTCTTCTGTAAATAATGTTGTACTCTGTTTTTCATCCATCCATCTTCCAAGAAACATCAGTTATGTTTTAAATACCTGCAGAATAACATTCTTGATTTATGACATGATTGAAAGTGAGTTGCCCAATGTGAATTAACAAACATGTCTTTCTCTTCTGCAGCGTAAGGAAAAGATCGCATGTGACCAACTTGTACTTGGCAACCTGTCATGGTTGATATCAAATCATGACTTACACAAGAAATCCTGAAAAATCCCCTCAGTGTCTCATGACAATGGCCTTTCCTCTAGCACCACCCTCAGGCCAAATGTATCAGTGCCACCATGCAAATCCATTAACACATGATTGATTACATGATACATTTAGGGCATTTAGGGCTATTTTGATCTTCAAACATCAGTTAAGTTATAATAATTAGCTTGATAGTTATTGCAGACGGTGCTCTCCTTAGCAGAACTAATCTATGTTAGGGTATGTGTGTGCATTTGTGTGTGTGAGGGGTGTATTTCTACCTCATGACCTAATTTAAACTACAAGGAACAAAATGCATTTTTTTTATCTCCCAAATTTGACAGCAAAAATGTGTGCCTCTCCACAGGGAGGTCAGAGGTCAAGGTCAACTACTATGTGTTGCTCAGGGACACTTCAGGATTCTACACACAGTAATAATGTGGAAAAGTAAGTGAGTAAAATGTATTTATATCACGCTATTCACAGACATAAGTGCTTTACAGAGGCAATGTACAACAACGGAGGCACAACAGGCAATATACTACAAAAGGCAATAACAACAAAGTGAGCAGTTTTTAAATATATATACATAGTTCAAGTATATTTGTCAAATGATACTGATTTGCTTCCTCTACTTGAACTAATTTATGGTACTTACTTAACTTGGAGGGACTTCTCTCTTACAAAACACTATGAAACCGATTATGCGCTCATTAGGAATGAAACTGCCACCCTGTCACATGCTTCAGTGCCTCAGTTATGAAAGAATGACTCCTGTGCTTCATAAGAAACAGTGGGCCTCTTGTGTGCAAGTGTCACTGCACCTCCACTGCTCGCAAATGTCTTGATACTGTAAGCTCGTGCCGAATTACACTAATCTTTAAAGAGCCTTCACTGCCAGAAGTACCTCAGGTTGGAAGGGAAAACTCACACTTTAGAGTTAAACTTTAAAATAGTTTTTTTCCCAGTCTTATAAGTTTACGTTAGTATGACTTCAACCCTGAGGAAAGTGTACCACATCACAGTTTTCAGCTGGTATGCTTTTGTCGTAAAGAGCCTCGCTGCTAAGGATGGAGAGGAGTTACCACCAGGGATCTTTGTTTATGGAGGACCATGGAAGTACCTCACTTTTTTGAACTTGGTGAGTACATTACACATATTATAATAGTAGAAATAGATTTACAATACTATCTACTGCAGGATACTGGAAAACAAGGATGCTGCTTTTAATATTTCAGCTGTTACAAATGTCATTCTTTGGACTGGCGGCAGTGAATGATCTACAACCTGAGGAGTCCGAGAGCACTCTGAACAAATGTAAAGACCTTCTCTTCTCTGTCTTTGCCTTCCCTGTGGGCATGGTGAGAAACACATGTTGGAAATTCTTACATTTTACAAAAAAAACAAAACTAAACATAAAACAAAATATCATAAAAAATGCAACACATTAACTCCATCTTCTATGCTCTTTCATTTAGTTTGTTGTTCTACTTTTCTGGAGCATCTTTGCCTATGACAGAGAATTAGTCTACCCAGCTAGTATTGACACCTTCTTCCCCCCCTGGATAAACCATGCTATGGTAAGTAAATTTGCATTTTCAGCAACCTTGAGCCCAAAATTTAAATAATTCACATTCTCCTGTCATTATGCAATGAGTTATCTCTCCGCTGTGTTCTCAGCACACGTTCGTCCTTCCTGTTTTACTTGGAGAGATGCTGGTGCAGCCTCACATCTACCCACCGACCAAACATGCGCTGGCAGCATTGGGAGTTGTGGGCTTGTCTTACTTATTTTGGTAAGTGTTGAGTCAGCATGCACAGCAGAATCATGACAAAGCAAAACTTTAACAGGAATATAACGCACAAATATCACACCATTTATTTTACCCCCTTTTGAAGCACAGCAGTGTCTAAATGTTCCTCCTGTAAACTAGTCTAGACTCATCCGGAGCTATTCATAATGCAAACAGCTTGAGGGGGAAACTAAAAGCGTCCCATGAAACTTCAGTAGTTCTGGCTCACGTACTATAATGCTGCCTTCAGGTCCTCATATAAACCATAAATAAGCTGTGTGTTATTGAGGAGATAGTTTATCATGTGTGTTTTACTGTTACAATCTTTCAGTGGGTGGAAACCAGTGAATACTTGTACTGGATGTACTAGTTCTAAACACGACAGTACATGATTATCTGACAGATATACTGACACTGAGGGTTTCTTCTCTCTCTCTCTCTCTCTCTCTCTCTCTCTCTAAACATGTTCTGCAGGATTATATGGGTGTACTTGTCAGTTGGGATTTGGGTGTATCCCCTTCTCGGGCACTTCAGCTCCGCCGGTCTGGTGGGCTTCTTCCTATTCAACATGACAGTGGTGACCTTGCTCTACGTGCTAGGGGACAAGTTCAACAGCCATGTCTGGTGTAAGAGACATTAAGTTTGGAGACAAACAAATAACAGATCACATGCTCATGTGTCTCTAATCTCTCTCTTTGTCTCTCTCTCTCCTTTAGATGAGAACAAAATGACAGCAAAAGTGAAGTGATTCAACCTCTCTGTCACATAAAAATGGTCAGAAATAATCCCTTAAAGCGAGACTGAAAGAAGAGCTAACACATTCTTCCTCTTACAAATGAAAAGTTTAATTTATAAGCAATAAAATGCACCATTGCTCAGTTAAATACACTCAGGGGTTTTGCTGTTATAGCCCTTGTTGGTATGACCAGTGACTTATAATGGCTAACTAAAGTTAGCAAACCTTAAATATGGTTAAATATGTTTCTTCTCCACTACTACTACATTACTGTTAATGGCTAAACTACTGTTTAGCAACCAGAAACTACTCTTTAGCATTTAGCTACAACTTGGCTAGCATTATTCCATTACAGTCAACAGTAGCAGCTGTTGGACAAAAGTTACAGTCTGTTTTAAAGGTTCATTGCACTGAAACTGCCAACAACAGCTGGTGTAAATGTTAGTTCATTTAACTCACAACATTGTTTAAACTGATTACATCGGACATTTTAAGTAACACTAACTTAATTTAAAGTTTAAAGTTAACAAAACAATCTTGATCAAGAATCTTTAGTAATTAAAAGAGACACTGGCCTTATTTTGTACATTTTATTTGTGCTTTACACAAAATACAAAACAAAGTGATATATATGGTTAATTACTAGTAAAAGCTGCATAATCAAGTATGTTTTGAGTTCATGTTACTTTAAATCTTTGATGTTTCAAGTTTTAAGTTAAAATAAGATATTACAGTGGGAGTATTTAACATCGCACAACACTTAAATAATGTAACTTAAACAACAAAGCAAGCGTAATAAAGCAAGTACCACTGTCTTCTGTTTCTATATTTTCATTATATACATTTTCTTATTTAAAAACGGGCGCACCTTGAATAAAATATATCAGAGGCTATGTTTTTCCCCACATATTCACATATTTCAAATGATACATTTAGACAATAAATGAAGCAGTCAGGATCTGCCATCAATCACATCCATATTAAGCACCATTGAATTCCCTTCTCTGCAGGGGATCATACCTAATTCATCATCAGTGTTCATCTTTGACCTGAATCAAGTGCATATTTTTCCACTAATCATGGAACATCTGGAGGGGTTGCAAAAGTAACTAGACCCGTGGTAATCCAATGCTGAAGAGCCTTGATTCGATGCCATCACAAATCATCTGTATATCCAGGAACAGTTTTGTCCACTGATTTCTGTAAATGGGTTTATTTCTTTTTATATATGAAGGAGCTCATCCACCGTGCAGGTCTCTGTAGGCTTTAAGATGCTGGAGATAGTTTGGATCTGCATCCACCAATCCAACTGAAAGGATCTTGGCCAACAAGTGGAAATCTCCCTCACCCAGATCCTTCTGCTGAAGAGATTAATGTAACATATATCATCTAAATTATTATAAATAATGACAGCATTTAACTTTGGATAATCACTCACCTTCTTGTTGTTGGCAGATGATTCCAGTAGTTGTGATTTTTGAGATTTATTTCCCTGTTAAAGATCATAATCATTTCAGAAAAATGCCACTTTATTTCCTTCTTGGTAAAACTGGTCACTTCCTCCAGCAGCTGCAGCGCCACTTTAACCTCTGTCTTTAAAAGGTTGATCTACATCTTATTTCTTCACCCCAAATTACATTTTAAAACAGCACAAACAGGAAGAAATACTGTTAAGGTTTACTCACATCTTTGAGTCCTTTTGAAAAGCACATTATGATGAAGAGAAGGCCAGCAACAACCTGAGCACGTTAAAAGAAAACACCAGTCAATATCACACAGTCCTCATTAGACTGAAACTTCAGTTAGTTGCTTATAAAAATAAATTAATGTATAAAGAGGTTTTTTTACTTACTCCCAGCAAGTTCAACATGTTTGTTTCTCTAGGTTTCTGTCCTGCATGTGAGCTTATGTGTGACCTATTGTTAAATAAGTTCCTCCTGCTCTGAGACATCAGACCACAGTGCGTAAGTCACACTGGAAAAACACCCACAAAGAACCAGCAGTACAGGATACACAGCATTTCAACGAGCACTACACCTGAAAGGTGATAATAAAGCAGACAAGCGTGTGGTTACGTAAAATACGCCTTTCAGTGCTCTTGTTAACGTAGTTTCCAGTTTAAAATGAATCTCCCCGTCACCTGTAAATAAGAATAAAGGAAAGAGTTACGACTGGCTGTGATTCACATTTTAAAAGCAGCATTGTGAAACACTTGGAAAGAGTGTCGCCACCTGTCCAATTCCAGTTACACCTTAAGATTGTGTCGTTTGTCTGACCTGCAGACACAATACAATACAACTGTTTCTATTTTTAAAGCAATAATTTACTGAGGTGGCTGGCTGGGGGCCAACCCTCCTCTCCCCAGGATGGGTTGCACATGTACGTATTTAAACTTAATAATCACAACAAAGGGAGACTGCTGCTCCTCAATGGAAAGACTGTCTCCCCAGCAGTCAGAGAGGAACAGGAGGAAACACAAGACCATGCATTGGGCAGCTGTCCTCCCCAATGCATGGTCTCCTTTAAAACTAAAACCTAAACTAACATATTTAATAATATATATAATTATATGTATATTAAATAAATGAATAAATAGATAAATAATAATAACAAATACTGCCTATTGTCCCCCATCTCCCAGCCTGGCCTCCTCACTGTCCTATTTGAAATATAATTAAATGTAAAGTATTGGAATAATTATTAAGTCAAATTATCTAATTACCTTATTACCATAATGTCTTAGATTGTGTGTATGTATATATATACACTATACAATTATTGGCATTATAATTATTATAATATGATGATATAATATGACTCCTGTCCATACCTTACAGACACTCATATTGTCCATACTGACCCTGTTATTGTTTAATGTTGTCATTGTCTCATGTGTTGTCTTCCTATATGTTGTTTGTTTGTGGATTCAGTTTGATGTCACACAGTAATCACTTGTCACCAATGTATCATTTATCTCACCAATAAAAATAAACAATAACAATAATAATTTACTGAGGTTAGTTCTGTAAAATAACCAATAATCTTTTTACTCATCAAATTGACACCACTAAAGCCTTTTATAGTGACACACTGAATGAGATGTCTTATGAAGCAACAAGGGTTGAATGTTACATTTACTGACGTACTTGTACTTTCCCTGAATATTTGTCACTTTATACTCCTACTTTACTACATTTTAGAGGGGATTTTGTACTTTTTTTTTGCTTCTCTGCATTTATTTGACAGCTTTCATCTTACACAAGATGAGTCTATAAATACAATGTTATAAACTACCCAAATTAAATGTAGCTCCTTAACCTGCTACAACATTAAAATGCTGATTTCGTGTTAATGCATCGGTATAAACAATCCAATAATCTCCAGGTATTCCAGCAAGTACTTTTACTTTCAGTACTTTAATGACAATAATGTACATTTACTTTAAACCTTTAATTGAACTTCCATAAATTGTTGTATTTATACTTTTACTCAAGGTTGAGAGTACCTCCTTCCCCCATTAGTGATATTGTGGCAGAGGCTACACTACCAGTTAGTTTTGTTTACATGTTTCTATTGCCGCCCTGTGGTATCACCAAAGACAAGACTTCCTTCCATCCTTCCATAAAGTTTGTTTATTTGTGAATAAATTCCACCAGAGGGAGCCAATATGTCACACAGCACATTACCTTATTAAGTAAGTAAGTAATAGGATTTGACAAATGTCCAACAAGTCCAACAGATAAGTTCCAGATTCTTCCAGTTGACACTTGCATAATGTGAACAAAGGTTTAGTAGGATAAAAACAATGATATTTTAAATAATATTAATATTGCAATGGGCTATACAGAGTATTTAAAATAACATTGATGTCATACATTTGAACTATAGTGTTATTAAGTAGATGTTTGAACTTTCCCAACTCTTTGATGCCTGTAAATATATATTGGAATATGTTCCTGAGTGTTTATTTCGTGGGTATTTATATTTTATGTATTTTAATTAAAGATGGTTGATAACAATATGAGCGCTGAGAACATTCCAAGTTTCTGTACATGCACCAATGTAAATCTCTCGCACTTTCACTTTCACTTTCACCTTTAAGTTACATAACTGTATATAACTGTATGTGTAGACTATACATCTACACACACACACACACACACATATATATATATATATATATATGAGTGTTTGTGGGAGGGGTGTCATTGTTTGTTTATTTTTTTTATTTTTTTTATTTTTATTGAACACTTTAAATATACAAACCTACAAGGTATACAATAACAATCAGCACATTGGTGACATAAATAACAAATAAATCAAAGATAGAGTACAAATTAAAAATAAATAAATAAAAAATTAAATTAAAAAAATTTAAAAATGTAAAATAAATAATAATAATTAAAATAAATAAATAAATAATAGATAGTTCAAACAGGGGCTTCAGGGAAAAACTTTTCATAATGACTCAGTAAGGTATTATTTTTTTGGTCATTTAACAAAATCAGAGATTTAAGCAAAGAGCTCAGTTCAGGAGAAAAATGTTTTTTAATCTTAATAATACATCCAGATGTGTACATCTGTGTACATGTACAGCTGCAGAGAAGCGCATGCGCGAGTACGCCCCATCTAGAACATTGTGGATGAGTCGCGACATTTCTTCTCCTTTCATAAAGTTAAGTGTACGCAAGCGCAGCACCACTTCCGGTTAAAAGGTTGCGCCTTCAAATTAAAGGTTTACACTTTTTTTACACGTACACGCAACTGAATTAAAACCACACGTTTTTAATGAGCTGCTGGGAGTATCCTGGTGGTAGCTTTAATAGCTCGCAGCGGGGTGCATTGTTGCGCGGTTATGTACGAGAAACCGGCCGTGCTGCTATAAAATAAAAAATATTTTTAAAAGACAAACCGGATGTTGGGAGTGCAGTAAAGTAGCTTGACGGGGTTCCTCCTCCGGTAGCTCCGTGCAGCCGATGTTGATGTTGACAGAAAACGGAGCAACGTTACCGGAATTGGGCAATTTCTACAACTAGCGGTCCGTTTGGTTGTTGATATTAAATCCTGACAATGTGCCGGTGTGTGGGCTTCTAACAGCGAGCAAACCACCGGGAAAACACGGTAGCGTTGTCAGATCTGGCGGTTTTCGGTAAGATATTTTGTGTTGCTATTTTGGGTTTTTTTTTTTTTAAAACGTTTTTACTGGTTGTAACTTGTTCAAATGAATTATTAACACGTGTTTAAGTTGCTGTGCAGTAGCTGACTGTTGTTATTGTGAACGCACTAACATTATGGCACTGTTTGTATTCATGTAATGTCACCACGTGTCGAGCGTGTTTCTCCTCTTTTTATGGTTAAATGTCTCCTTCAATCGTTTACCGCTTTTGCTGACTGCGGTATTAATACAGTAAATAATAGTAAATGAACTTGATCAAGTTGCGTCAGTCTTGTAATCATCGTGGTAAAGTAACGTTAATGTCAAGAGGATGTTTTTATGCGCGGAACCGGAGGAGTACATCCCGTTTCA